TAAGCTGTGTCGTCAGTCAGTCGTTTCCCATCATGCTTTTGGTCAGCGCAGTCCGTGGAGAGCAACTGCGCTCGACTGCACAATTCGACACAGCCGCCTCGCTGTCGCGAGAGTTTTTTGGCACACAACAGCATAGCTGCGTCCGAAATCGCATACTTCCATACTATATAGTAGGCGAAAAAAGTATTTAATCGATCAAATTTATTTATTTTATGCCTTTAATTGGTTGTTGTTTGATGAGCAATTTATACAGAACATGTCTCCAGTCTATTTTTTGTAAATGTGCTGTGTGATGAAGTGCGTTATCGCGTCAGTTTTTAGAACTTCATCGTCTCACTTTATGGATTGTTAACTTGGCACTGTATTTTATTTCAATGGTTACGTTTTCTGATGCTGACCAATGTTTTATGCAGATTTTTTTATTTAAACAGGCATATTAAGATTCAGAGACGCTCAGCTTTACTTGGAAAAAGTTGTTGCAACAAATTCCACTGCCCAGTGTTTTTAAAAGGACCAGATGGCACAGGTTGAATGCACACCTTCCAATTCACTTCAGAAAGGCAGATGTTCATAGAGGTATGAACTTTGTGAGTTATTTGATAATATACATTGGCAATAAATGGTATTTAATAGCAGTCTTTTTGTAAATTGTAGTTTGCCTGCCCAATTTGGTAAAACACACAACCTAACAGCGATATGTATTAACAAATATATGGATATTATGTTTGCAGTTCATTGATGTTCATTTGCGTAATATTCTGAATATTTCTTTAATATTATGAATTTAAAAAGTTGTTTTTGCATTGTCAGTGGTAATTTTTGCTTTCGAACAATGAAACTTAGCCATCTTATGCAATTTTTTTTATGGTTATAAACCATTAAAAAAATTCTGTTTGATTTTGTTGCAGTAAATTGACAAGCAAAATCATACCAATTTCCAATGGAAGCTGATTGAAAACAAGGTTAGTTTTGTAAGGCTTTCATATTCTACTTAGTAGCTGTCATAGCTGTCATGTCTTTTCCAGAAATAATTTAATAATATTCTTTTGTTTTAGAATGTCCACAACAGCTGGCCGGTTCTATTGATTGTGGGATCTTCATGTTGTTGGTAAGAAAAAGAAAGGGAAAGTAAAAAAAAAAAAAATCTTGAAATATATCAACTTCTCTTTTTATTAGAATGAAAAACATGAGGGCTTTTCACACATGAAATAATAAACACTGGGTGAATGTAAACTCCAGGTAAACTGAATGCTGGTTTATCTTGCTTCATGTTTCACACAGAATATAATTTACCTGGGATTGACAAATAATCCTGGGTTTTCATACGCTGCTGTTTTACACTACATTACTAAACCCCAGGTAAACATCCTTATATGCACATTTTCTGCATCAGTGTCACTGATTGGACAGACACTGCATGCGATATGATACAAAAATGCCCAAGCACTGCACATCCTCATATTACATACAGCTGACTTTAATATCAAGTTTATCCTGAAGGTACTTTTTTAGATTATAAAAGTAAGAAATATACAGTCTCTTCTTGACCCTGACTGTTGTGTTTTCTGTCAGCATTTGGCATTTTTGACATCCTGTCAAATGCTGAATTTAATTTACTGTTTTTATACAGTGCTTATTTTTGCAGTGACTGTCCAAAGCACTTGAATATGAGGCAGGCAATTGGTTGTCGGTCTATTGATAAAGGGTTAACAATGCTAAAGCCGTAGAAACCCTTCTCTGGAGTAGGCTTTCATTACACCAAGTAAAAGTGGTGCTAACCCCCATTACAGGTGTGACATGTTCTTTACTTGGGGTTAAAAGTGATGTGTTTACACTGTATTTATTTATTTATTGGGGGGGGGGGG